CAACAAAGAATAAAAAATAAATAATGGCATAGGCTTTAATAAACAAAACATCTAATCAACATGTTAGTATCCTTAAAAGACATTTTTTAAAATAAAAAAACTGTAAAATCCAGACAAGAATGAAATTTTCTCCTTATAATTGCTTCTACGATTAAAAGATAAGAGCCAGAATCTTTTATTGGAGCCCCTCTCAAATAAAGAAAAAAAAAAAAAAAGACTTGGCATTGCCTTTGACAAATACAAATATACAATATGTAATTAACATACTTGTATACGGTTAAAACCGGGTCTACCTGATTTTACTATTTGATCGAGACCAGGAATTGCATCGAGGGTCAGCCTCGTGATGGATCAGAGCAGAGTACGAAGACAAGGTATCGAGTTCGAGAATCGAAGTGCCTGTCGAAATCGAGGCCAGCAGCGATCAAGACCAAATATGGCAGACTACGAGCAAAGCGCAATAACAGAAAACCGAGATATCCGTGACCGGTCGAAGATCACGGCGGAAATCCCAGAACAGATCAAATCAAGGGCGATTGTTTAGGCTAATCATGGGATTTACTTCCGTAGTTAGAATTGTACCATAGATAAGATTCCTCTACTATATAAAGAGGGTTCTAATCATTTTGTAGACCAGACATTCATGCAGATCAAAGCAATACAATATTCTCTCTTTAATTTACACTCTCTTGCTCATCAGCTAGTTACATTTTAATTGTTCTTGCATAACTAGCTCGAGGTATTCAAGCTCGAGGCCTGAATTATGTTCAAATACTGGTTTGCCTTATATTATTGTCAATTTCTATTATTACTCTTTGCATTTATCAAATGGTATTAGGTGAAATCAGGTATTCTTAAAACCACATTATAAGTTTAATTGTTATCCAATTTTAAGGGTAAACAGTTTGGCGCCCACCGTGGGGCTAAGAATAATAGTGATTGCCTGGTATTAATTCCCGTAACACACACTACTTTACGCTTGTTCTTGTGAGTATTTTTGATTTCAGGATCAACATGTCTAACTCGCAAGTAGTACCCACTCACGCCGATGACGACCTCGGTTTTCATGGAGAAAACGGTAATGTAGCCGCCCCAGGGATCGAAGTGCCTCAAGCTGGCCACGAGGGAGTACCGATCGCAAACCCCATCGATGTCAGTTCGCATATCGCCCTAAATGCAAATGTGGGCGTCGACCTTGGAAATAGTGTCCGTAGAGATGCCCGAGCAGCCGATCAGAATGCACAGAACGGTGAAGAAGGCGTAATTAGCCTTCGAATGATATTCGAAATGTTGCAGACTCAACAAGCTGCGATAGCGCAACTCCAAAATCAGAATCAAGCACCAACCATAATTGAGCTCGAAACATCATAAGAGGTTATTCATAGAGTTGAGCCTGTACTGGAGAAATCAAATTCCAATGAATCGGGGACTGACCCCGCCATTATGAAGATGCTTGAGGAGCTCGCTAAACGGATCGAATCAGGTGAAAAGAAAATCGAGGCTAATGACAAAAAGGTAGAAACATACAACTCACGGGTTGACCAAATACCGGGGGCTCCCCCGATCCTAAAGGGTTTGGAGTCGAAGAAGTTCGTGCAGAAGCCTTTTGCCTCAAAGTGCGGCTTCAAAGCCTATTCCTAAGAAATTCTGTATGCCAGACATCCCCAAATACAATGGGACCACCGATCCTAATGAGCACGTCACTTTTTACACAAGTGGAATAAAGGGAAATGACTTGGAAGATGATGAGATTGAATCCGTTCTACTGAAGAAATTTGGTGAGACTTTATCAAAGGGTGCCATGATATGGTATCATAACTTACCACCCAACTCTGTTGATTCGTTTGCTATGCTCGCAGATTCTTTTGTGAAAGCCCACGCCGAAGACAATAAAGTTGTAACAAGGAAATCGGACTTCTTCAAAGTAAGAAAAAGGATAACGAGATGCTCAGGGAATTCGTATCTTGGTTCCAAACGGAGCGAATGGATTTGCCTCCAGTCACCGACGATTGGGATGTTCAAGCTTTTACACAAGGTCTCAACACTCGGAGCTCCATAGCTTCACAACAGTTGAAGCAAAATTTGATCGAATATTGATAAGTAGGGATTTTAACCTATTATTTGCTCTCTTTTACTTATGTTTTGGGACAAAAATGCATGAAGGTATTCCGGAAAACTAATGTAATGTGCTTGCTTGCAGGAATTGTTCAAAATGAGCCAAAGGAGTCATAATCAACTCATAAAGGAGTCAAAACTTGAACAAAAACCAAGACTGGGCCAAGAGATCTAAAACGCGGACCACACAAATATTGTGCGGCCGCAAAAACCACAACGCGGCCGCGATCAGAAATACGCGGTCCGCGAAAGGGAGATTCAGAGAGTTGCATTTTCAGGCTAAATGATAAGCACAGACCGCACCAAAAATGTGCGACCGTGAAAGTCTCACTGCGGCTGCGATGGAAAATATGCGGACCGTGATGCATGAAGTTCAGAGAGCTCACAACATGAGCGAAAGAAAGAAGTGCAGTCCGCGTCAGAATTGTGCGGCCGCAGAAGTCCCTCACGCTGTCGCGATTGAAATTATGCGATCCGCGAAACTCAGCTCAACCTAGATACAGATTTGAAGAATGCGGACCGCGATCAGAATTACGCGGCCGCTAAAGCAAGAATGCGGCCGCGCTCAAAATTACGTAGCCGCACAACCTCCACGGGGGTATTTTGGTCCGAAAATTTTAGCTTAGTATAAGTAGAACGTTTTGTCATTTTTAGGTTATGTTATGTATTAGAGGAGCACTTGAGACGACTGAGTTTACTGCTTTTGGAAATTTTGTACTAGATTCATCTTTTAACATTAGATTTTCATCTTTTAATCTAGTATTATGAATTTTATCTTCTTTTCATCTTTAATTTCTGTTATTTTCATGAGTAGCTAGACCTATAGCTAGGGTTGTGACCCAAACCTAGTGTGGGTATTTGATGGGTATTGAATTCTAGGGCTTGAATGTGTATGGGTTAGTGATATTTAGCCTAGTTCTTGCTAGAACTATAGAATTAGCGGTTGCAAACACTGATTCATGCCTTTATGACTTAGTCTCTACTTGAGAAAGAGGGACCAAGTTTAGGAAAACTAGGCTAACAAGGAATTGGGGTGAACTCAAGAAATTGATAGCTCCAATTAAAGGGTTAAACCTGGAGATAGTAATACCCGACTTGAGCTAATATCACTTGAATTGCATGAAGACCCATTTGGACTTGAGAAAGCCAAATTGGGCAAAATCACTCAAACTACCGAGAGGTATAGAGTGAGTACCCAGGTGTGATAGTTATATTGCGACCCCAACTAATCACAAGATTGTCCTAGATTCTACTATCCGTTAGATATCCACCTAGGTAGAAGTCACGACCCTAGTCTCTTTAAACCCTTGAAAATCAACAACAAAAACATTACACTTAGTTTCAAATATTGCATG